CGACAAAGGGAAACAGTAAAGTCATTTCACAGCACAATTGAGTTTTCATTTATAAGACATGCTGCAAGTTAAAATAGTGTTGGTACTTCAGAAAGAAAAATCTCAGCTATAAATTTCCAACAGTCTTCATTCCTTTCTTCCCTGCGTCGCTGCACTGCAGCGTTTCCTCATGTTTATGAACTCCTTGTCTTGGCACAGAATTTGTGTTCCCACAACAAATTCACACGGTGACAGACCTATAGCTGTGAAAAGCTTGTTTCAGTTTCCAAGGTAGAAGGGGGCCTCTGAGGGAGGCTGCTATGCACCACAGAGCCGCTGTGAAAACAGCCCCAGGGAACAGGGAGTTGATTTAGGAAGTGGAAGGAACAACTTTGTGCTGAGTAATTCTGAGTTAACACACTGGTGATAGATAAAATACTTAGAGGACTCAACAGCAACTTGGCTGCAGCCTGTATCAGTTGGTACTCCTGGTTTTGATGTGTTTATGTTAGTTTCCATTACTGTAATTCAGGAATTAGCCACTGCGCAGGAAGTGTTTCCAGAGTAAAACTGCTAAGGAACAGCAACAGTAGGAGTGCAGGAGGTGTCATCCACAGTGAACTCACCCAAGGGTCTGCTTGGTCCTCAGGAAGTCAAAGCAAGGCTCTTCCATGTGCATCTGGAACAGAGCACACACATGTTACAGCAGAAGCAGCGCTCCTCTGCAGCCACCCTCCGGCTCTGCACAGACCCATGATCTCAGTGTGTGAAGGCAACTGCAGCGCTGCCTTTCCAGCTGCACCCACTGAATAAAGGGGGCTCAGTCTCCCAGGTCAGGAGCTAAGGGAGCAGTGTTCACAGCGTCCCTCACTGCAGCAGGTTGGGGATCCAAGTTAAACCAAGGTTAACTGGAGTAAGCAATAGGTATATGCTGCCCTCTTTGTACCATTTAGCCCCCAGGCCTTATCTTAGCTCCAAGTGCTGGTTTTGGGGAAGGCACTTTGATGAGTTAGGAGACACAAACACTAACTTACCACAATCAGCTCCATAAGGGTATATTCCCTTAGGCTTCTGGCACCTGACTAGAAAGAAAACAAAGAACTTCGGGTCATTTCATGGAGTTCAGTGCTGTAGGTTAGACCAAGGTGAAGGTTGTGGCACACACCTCAGCCTGGACTGCAGCACCAAATTACAGTTCACAGCAGGGACAGATGGAAAGTTCCTGTTTTCAATGAAGGCCTCAATGTGGCCCTCAGAAGAGAGGGAAGGGGCTCAGCCCAGAACCATGAGCTCAGTAGTGAGGACACAGGAGATCACCAAGGCACAAACCCATCTATCTACAAGCACTAGCACAGGCATTGGAGAACCCCGCACATTGTGAGAGCTCACCTGGGTTTAAGTGAAGTTTCAGCACACTGTCCAGAGACCATAACTGTGGCTTAAGTACAGCTATATGAGCATCAGCAGCTACCAGAGGGAAGAGGCCAGTACCCACCAAGCTAACACATACCTGGTAATAGACTGTCACTTCTGAGTTGGCATCTCCTTTGTTGAGAGTTTTCACCTTACAGAGCAGATGTGTATTTGGCAAATCCACCACCCGGAACTGAACAGGGCAGGGATGGACCAGGGGAGCGAACTGCAGCTTTCTGAAGGGAGCACAAACAGCAAAGCTTCAAACACCGCTCACATCTCAGCCAAAACCAATACAACACCCAGACATTTGGTCTGACTTTGTTTTCCCCTTCCCCAAACCAAACCAATGCCCACTGAAACTGCCATGATGAACAGTCACCTCCCACAAGAACCTATAGTCAGGAGAGAAGAAGGGAACTTCTGCATCACTCCCATCCTGACCCCTTCCTGCAGAAAAGCATCTGAACTTGATTATAGTTTCCAAACAATGAGTCAAGAGATACTCACTGAACAACGTAATTCAGAAAATCATTTGCTTCCTAGGAGAGAAAACATAAGTTTTATTTAGAAGAGGGTTACTACCCCAGTTCATAACCACACCCCCCAGAGCATCACTTCAGAAGGTGACCTCCCAGGCAAAGACCAGCTGAGCTGTCACACCAACCCCATCCCTGCCCCCTTGACACCTCTGCACCATGCTGCAAAACAAAACAGTCTCCAGGCAGCTTCTTGCACTGTAACTTCTCCAGAAGGAGAAGCAGAAGCCAGAGACATAGCATCAGCCATCACAACAGTGAAAGGTGGGCACAGGAGGAGGCAAGGCTCCTCTCTTGTGCATCAAGTTGGAGTTCTGGGAAAGAGACTTAGGTTTAAGTGGAAGAAATGGAAGGAAGTGTAAGGAACACTGAAACTAAAACACACCCTAAAATTGATGTAGGAGTTAGATCTGCACAAGCCACCCTGTGAAAGGAGCTTAGTTCACACAGAGGCTGCAGCAGCAAAAGCATTTTGAATGGCAATTCTTAGCAAATTGAGTTTGGATTCCCAGGCCTCCTCCTGTCCCACAGCTGACATGACAAGAACCTGACCTCCCAAAGGACACTGGCATGTACATTGGCATGTTTTCTCTATGAGGCTTTAAGCAGTTTAAAGACAAACACCACCAGGTAAGACAAACTTCTCAGCACAAATCGTAACTGCAGGTGGTTTAACTCCCATGCCACACACAGGCACTCAGTGCCATTGCATACATGGAGCTAAGCCCCATGACAGCCCTGTTTTAAAAGCCTGACAGGACAATGTCAGGGTGGCATTCTTTGATGAATATTGCAGGCGTTTGAAAGGACTAGGACTCAGGATGACTGGAAATCAAATGTCCAGGAGAAACGTACTTCGAGGGAAGCCTCCTCCTGTGGTACCACTGTGGATGTTTCTCAGTATCAAATAAATCAGTACACCAAATACTATCACAACTGGTGGCAACAGGGGAAACAGGTTACAGGCAGGTTTCTACCACATTCTTTCCTCTCTGCAGTTCAAATCCAAACTCCTGGAAACTTCTGTTCAAACCAGCAACTATGGTCTCCCCAGTGGCTTATCCAGATGAGCACTCGTGAGGTGTTAGAGGTGAAGCTGCCCTGTCCCAGCAAAGCTCCAGATTGCCAGTACCGAGGAGGCAGTCAGGGAAATGTTGGAGTTGGTGGCAGCTGTGTTAAAGCACATCTTAAGGACAAGCGTGTGTGTGTGTCAGCTGCTGAAGCTGTACTTACTCTGCTCGTGAAGTTCCCTTGTACAAGACCCTCTGCGAAGAGCTGTGATTTGAAAGCCTTAACAAAGGATGAGAGAGACTCAATGGAAAGGCCATTCATCAGCGTCTGGTATTTGTCTATCATGGACCACCTCCCATGTTCCAATATGAGGAGACGCACGTCCCTGCAGTGCAAGAAGGAAAACACCACCACAGGCTGTCGAGCTGTTCAGTGTAAGAGATGCCATTTCTGACTCAGGACTGTACTGGAGACAAGGAGTGCTGCTGTGGGCTGACTCTGCCCTCCCTCAGCACCTGCTGTTGGCTACAGGTCACTTCAGCAGCGACCTAGATGTCCAGTCTGACCTGCATATTCAATCTGCTGGTTTCAGAGCCGCTTGAGCTCCCTAAGCTCTCCTACAGCACAGTGATTTCCAAGCTCTTCAGTCAACCTCAACACTTGCTCTGCAACCACTTCTCACCCTCCCCCAGAACTCACTTGGCCAGAGTCTCAGGTTTGATGAGGATGTTGAAGTACGTTTTCTTCAGCTGCTCTGTTATCATTTCAAACACTGCTGGAGTAAAGCTGAAGTCAGACAAGTAATCAATGATGAGCTGAAAGAGAAGCTGTAAAGAAAACAGTTCTAAGTACTTTTTTAAGAACCAGGTATAACCTATTATTATATAATAATACTAACCAATTATAACCTTAAACCTATATAATCATTTTTAAGAATCATTATTCCTTGATCAACACAAGACACACAATGCTACTGAAGCACATTCCTCACTTCTGGTGGATGTTCACTAAACAATTCTATATCATATCACAGTCAGCTTCAAAAGGACAGGATATTTAGAAAGTGAATGAATTAAGCTCAATGTCCCAAATCAATAGTTTCCACATTCTGCTGAAACAAACCTAGCCTGTAAGTCCAACACTTCTGTATTAGATATTCCAGTTTTCCCTTTTACAGCTGGCACAATGGCATTACCACAGAGCAACATTCACAACTTAAGGAATATTCAGACATATTTGCATCTCTGGCTTTTTCTGTTTAAGCTCACATTAATAAGCCTGAGATGATTGACAGTCTTGTTAAAGCTCCAGCCAAGCTCTTGCAATGGAAGTCTAAGGAAGTTGGGCAGTTTTCTCTTCTCTGTGCTTTACATCCCTTACAGAGAATGGGAACGGGATCCCCCAGTGCTCAGAAGGGAAGCTCTTACCAACCTGACAGAGAACAACTGCACCCACAGGGACATGTGCAGAAGCTGCACCTCTGAAGTCAAATTCTAGACAAAACCTGTCTCCTAAACAAAACCTATTTTCCAACATAATCCTCCAGGCAGCCTGCAAATAGCTTTATCTTACAGCTGAAGAGCCTCTTAACACCCTGTATGGATATGGGAGACTTGTGGCTCTTTTTACAGGGAAGGCTGTTGAAGTCTTTATCAGTTATTACTTAAAGGCAGGTTTCTCTTGAGTCAGTCTAAGGTCAGTAATTTGAGCTTGTGAAAGTGAATACACCTTTATAGATGGCAGCACATGAAAAAAAGCATTTGCAGTGTTAACCTGTATCTGAGCAGAGACACACATTTTCCAGTTTTAAATAACCCATCTGAACATTCAACCAGGCTCCAGCTGCCAGGAGAAACAGCACAGCCCCTGGGAAGCAGCATGCTCAACAGTGTTTAGAAGATCAGCAGTACTTACAGGTAGTTTGTGATTGAAACCCTTCACTTGAATGACTAAGCCGTGCTCTCCAGCTACAAGCTTGTATTCCAGCTGGGCGACGTCTGCTTCGTAAGCTGGCTCCCCAAGGTTGTGGGAAAGGATGTTTACAAAGGTATCAAACAAAACTATGCTGCATGGAGGAAAGGGCAGAGGGTTAAAAACAAAGAAAGAGACGGAATAGGATGAAGCTAAAAATTAAGCTCAATGACTCAGATGGTTGATGAAGCACAAGAAGTTCTCCAGAAGAATATATTTGAGTAAAATGAGACTCAAAATGAGTTTTCCACAAACGCAGAACTACAGAATGCAAGTTTCCCTTTGTCCAAAGCACACAACATTTGGCCATTCAACCATTCTTTGCAATAAATAAGATTCCAGCTTCATGTGACTTAAGACTTCTTCAAGATAGGGATGCACACTGTAACATGCCAATGCTCAAAATATGGAATAATGACACAAAAAGAGACAATTATGCTTTGTGTAAAGGAATGGAGGATGGATGGGCTCAGTTATGCTGAAGAGTTGAGTAATGAGATGATTATTTATCTATCAAGATAAACCAAAATAAGCTACAGCAAATCAGACTCCCCACTGTGGAAACTGCAGTCTGTGCTCTCAGGTTTTTGTTACTGCCTGGATTCCCATTCAAAGCTCGATCTAACAAAGCCCTGATGAAACCAGGTTTACAAAGACTTTCCCGTTACATCAGTTGGGCAGGTCTCAGCAGGCTTGTGACAAAAGTACTATGAAACCTGTTACAAACGGCGATGCCAGCCCAAGACCAGCACACACACAGCATGTGCAGAGCTGCAGTCTGGAAGTCTTTCTAACCAACAGTTGGTTTCTAAATGCTGCTGATAGTCTCTTCACCTGCTCCTATAGGCTCCCAAGTAGCTGGTTCAGGACATGACTGAAGACTGCTCTTTTCATCGCAGACTCCTCTAAGCACTCCCTTCTGGAATGCTGCTGCTGGTACATTATTTTTCCCAAACTTGCACTGGGGAATACCACACCAAGAAACTCCAGTGCATCTGCGTGCTACAGTAACGACCTGCTGAGAGCCACCCTCACTGAGCTACAGGTAAAACAAGGGATGTGTAAGAACATGAGAAAAAGAAGACTTATTCTATTCCAGGTTAAACTTAACCTCTCTTCATGGTTTTTCACCAACTACGGTAATATAGTTAAGCATAAATAATACAATCCTCACTTCTCTGCAGACTGCTGTATCAATGGAGAGATCAGATGGAATTGAACATAACCTGGGGGGGGAAAAAGAAACTTAAATGAGTAATTGCATAAAAAAGATGAGTTTTCTAAAGTCAAATATAGTTCCACCAGGTTGTACTTTGGTCACAATTTGAGTCTAATGAAAATGGTCATTCAGCTATAAGAATATATTTTGGCTTATATTAAGTCCTCATCAAATGCCTTCTCTTTTTCCCTCCAAATTCTTCCCTTCAAAATACTAAATATTAGCACACACAAAGCTGTGCTTTGCAGAATATTAACTCGCTTGGTGTGACCTATAGAGACAACAAAACTCCACTAAACATCTCTTCAACAGGTACTAAAAACTGGGACATTCTGATTGAAAGCAGCAATATATTTTACACATTTGTCTTAGACCCAGATGGTATTTTTCTCCTTCTGTAGAAGAGACTATACCCTCCTCTAACTGATGTGCTCCTTTGTTCTCAAGCCCTTGTCTCAGTATATGCCCATAGTCAGACATTCAGAAGTCAGTATATTTCAGTGATTCCACTTTCCAACCTGAGGTATCAGGAGCGTTTCTTCACTGCAAGGTAGTTTACCTGCTTCTCTTTCATTGTAGCTAATACACATATCAAAGGGACCATGGAGGAGCTGACAGTTAAAACACTGAGCTTAAGTGAACACTATCACAGATAATTTGCCTTCAGATAAATTCCAGCTGGTAAAGAACATGACTTCCTACTCTTCTGAAAGCCCTTAAGGTGTTTACCTTTTGGGATTTTGAATTTATCATCCTTCTTGTACCAGAGACAGCCTTGTTGTGTGCTTAGTGTTTTGACAGGGTATTCAGTCTCAGGGCAGTCAGCAACTTTCAAAGCAAAATCAGTGGCTAACAAAGGAAAACCAAACCAAAACCATCGGTTAGTGGGTTTCACAGACACAGACAGGCTGCATACATGAAGGTATTCAAAATTATCAACATTATTTTATCCAGCTTGCTACATTGCACACAATAATGCTTTCCTGCACCCAAAGAACATTTCTTTTTCAGCTCCACACCAGAAGAGCGGCTCAGAAGCCACACAGAAACGGTGATGTTGTGTCCCATAGGGGTTACAAGTTACGGGTTTATTGTCATTTGGTTTTGGCAGCAAAGCCAGATGGTATTTAGATGCTTTCAAACCCATCAAGATTAGGTGAATAAAATTACTCCTCTAAGCCTGGAGCTCTGCATTACCTCTCACTGACTGTGTGAGGCTGCTCTGTTACAGCTCTATGACCTGTAAATTTACACCTTCGAAAAACGCAGCTCAAGCTTATAAATAACAGAAATTGAATAAAATTCAGGTGAACAGAGCTCTCTTTTTTTAATTTTCAAAACCAGGCCGATGTTCAGAAGGAAATTAAACTGTTTGAAACCACAGCAAACTCTCAGATTATTGGGGTGCGATTTCACTGATGCTGAGGTGCCTTACCTATGTATTTGTTTTCTTCTGGAAGGTGCAAATCCTGATTTAACTCAAAGTCACTGTCCCATAAATCACTCCAGCACTTGTCAATATCTATTAAAAAAAAACAAACCAACATAAGATGCACTTAGTTCAAGCTATCCTATTTCCTAGGCCAGTCAGCTCATCCCTTAGCTAGCCCCACGACTATTTGCAGTATAATAGGAGGTTCTTAATGTCACCCTGCTCATCAAGACTCTCTAAATCCCTTCCTACAAACTCCCCTGGAGCAGGACTGAAGTAGTCCTATTCAGAAGTAAATCGAGCTTGCCTGCATCATTAATCAGCTACCAACACACCCTGCCCTTCAGCGTTTGTGTTCTTTTCCCTTTTCAGGACCTGAATGGCAGCCAAGGGGAGGGCTCTCCTGGGATCCCTGCCTCCTGAAACAATCACAAACTAGGGAGTGGGAATCAGCTGATAGCAAACAAAGAAGAGCAAAGTTATTGAGCAGGAAAGAGTACTTGACTAATGATGAGGTGAGTAAAGTACTGAGGATTCATTCCCCTACTTCTGTGTGGTTGTATTTTATGTTGTCACCCTTTTAGTATCTAACATACAAATGAGATGTTCTCCAAGCTTCTCCTGCTGTTTTACCTTCCACACTGTATTGCGTTCCAAACCACCTCTCTTTTAGGTGACACTGGCCTTCATTGGCAGCAGACAGCAAAATGAGGTTGGCTCTCTGGGGACTGAGCTGGTTAAGGGCATCAGCAATGATCTACAAGTTCAAGACAATACTTCAGGTCAAAAACAACTCTGGCTCTGCCTGACCCACCAAAGACTTCTCAGTCTGAACACAGGAAGAACAAGACAGAACAAGCTTACAAAAAAGCCTGCATTTCCTTTCTTAATACAAGTGTTTCATTAATACAAAACCTGTGCCTGGATTATGGCTAATTATAAATGCCTGTAAGTGCCTATATTATACCGTATGTCCATATTCTCCTTACATCAAAACATGTAATCAAGAGTTCAAAGAATACTTACCTCAGGCTTGTATTCAAACAAGAGCTGCTCTCCTGTCAGAAAATCCTCCTTCTGAAACAACTGCATGTTCTCACAAACGCTTTCCACATAGTCCACTGGATCTGTCTGTAAGCACGTAAAGCAAGCTGTTTTTCACATCATCAGAAAACTAAGAATATCCATTTTGTGTTCTGAGAAGAGCTTGACAGGTCAGGTACATTGAGCATGAGTTTCATGCTGTGCTTGTTATAGCATTTAGCTTCAATTATTACGCTAAATATATTCCATAACCATATCTAATGCTTGGGACTTCTCTGAGAGTCCTGAAATACCAGACATCACCTTTGTAGAAAGCTTGAGCATGCAGTTAACAGTCACTGAGCCTCCTAGATTAAAGACCCAGTAGAAAGCCTTCATTGTCTCCAAGGAACACAAGCAAAGTCCTGCAGTTAAAGATTTAAAGTGATCTGGAGCCTGGAAAGAGCAAGGCAAAAAACTGCTGCTGCTGCTGCATGAGTATCTCTGATTCTGCTCCTTTGCTAAGTTCTCTGCCATGACATACAGTATAAAGAGGAAGAAATTCTCCTATTCAGACATAGAAGTATAGACTGCCTTTTAACAGTGTAAGGCTGTGCAGTGGAAAGCTCTTTGCTGAGCACTTCTGGGCTTTTTTGAACCAGGCAGCATGATACTATGAAGATTCTGGTCCAGACACAGCCCACAGTTCATCTGAAAAGAGGCAAGTTTGACACAAATGTCTTGTAAAGGCAGTGGAAAACATGACTATGAATTTCTTAAGATGCTGTACACCTGAAGAAACATTAAACCTCTCTTGGGACACAACTGCTTATCACAAAACCGTGCCTCTGTGACTGTTATTCTTTAGGATAGCCATGTACCAGCTCCTTCCATCAACCAGAAGAGCAAGGTGCTTAAGATGTCCTTGGGATGCACAACCCTGTCACAAAAGCACATACATATCTCTGTTCCTTGCTTTGAGTTAAATCCCTGCACTGTCAGTAACTTCTTAATGATCACCCTAAAAAGGCAAGACTCTTAATAGTCGGTATTTCCCTAGTGTAAGCTTGGGTGTTTTCTGTTCCCACCTGCTTGATACTGGGAAGTACACAGTCCATTAGAGCAGGAACAGTTTGGGGAATGTAAAATTCTAGTGGGGAGTACTAAAAAGAAGGCCAATAAGAACTTGTCAGGACTAAATAGCTTCACTTGGATGAAAAAGTAGACAACCTCTGTTGGCAATGATTAAAGACAGAATCGAAGGCCAGGTCGGACAGAGCCTTGGGTGACATGGTCTAGTGTGAGGTGTCCCTGCCCGTGGCAGGCAGGTTGGAACTGGTTGATCTTAAGGTCCTTTCCGACCCTAACCCATTCTATGATGAAACAGTATGTAGGGCAACAGACATTTATTCCTGTTATACCCATTATACTAAATAGCCATTCTTCACAGATTTTTAAGTGCTCTTTTATCTGTCACTAGGGGTTACTGGCAGCAGCCCTTGCTGTATCACTTGCAAACACCACTTCTGCTATTCAAAGGCCACCCAAGACACTCAAAATCCTTCATATGCTATTTTGAAAGCAGAGCTGCAGATGCAAGGATTTGCTGAAAATGACATTTCTAACACCTGATGCTCCAGCAGACTGGAGGGTCTTAAGAGTGTCTGAAAATACTTGGAGTATCAGGAAAGGAAAACCCTCCACTTCCACTATTTCCCATTCTTGCTCAATGTAGTGAGACTAAGAAAGTGAAGTGAGAGTAAGAATGAAGCGTGGCTTCTGGAATTATGTACATTGTGTTCTCTTCTTTTTCTTCACCTCTAATAAAAACAAGTAAGATTCAGTAAGCCAAGGAAGATGTCACAAAACCACATTTAACTGTGTAAGGTTGTAACAGCAGGCAAGGGGGTCAATTAGCACCCTAACCTTCATGAGGCCAGGCCACCAGGAAGCCACCCCTTTCACACAACACTGCTTTTCTATTCCCAGAAATCAACAGTGCCAAAACAGCTTAAAACCCCCAGTGAAATTAGGCAAAAATACGTTTCTCTGTCTACAGTACAAATTCTTTCAGCAAAATCCAGCTTCATCTATTGCTGGTCAATAGAACTCTGAAATGTGTTTCAAAATGAAAAAGAAATCCTGTGTGTGGTTTACCTATATCAACACAAAACAGTGGGTGAATACCTGTTCCTGGTAGTGAAATTCATTAGCTTCAATCTTCTGTATTTCTTCCCAAATTCTGTAAAGGAAGGAGGAAAGAATAAAAGCTGATTTCCTCTATTATTCCACAACATTTACTGAGAATGTGGTAAAAAAGCAGTCTTCTAGGAAAGGCATCAAGGGTGAGTTCAGTGACTCATTGAGGCATAAGACAGAGAAGCCAGTATTACACGCACTGTGCTTCCACCCAAAAGGGCATTTCTCAATTGGCAGAAATGTCTGCAATTTTCTGAAGAGGAAGAGACTTTACTACAAAGATTGGCTCAATGAATTCATTTAAATAAACCCCAAACTGCACCCAACATCTACACTAGTTCAGGTTGATTCAAGTTACAAAACAGACCACCATAAATCAAACTAAAAGCACCAAGAAACATGCATAAACCTTTAGCAAATTCATTTTTAACTTAAATTGATACATTTCCCATGCAGACAAGCTTCACACAAACAAGCTTTACTACTGACTCACTTCTCATGCTCTAGGAACTCCATAAAGTGCAAACACTACAAATAAAAGGCTAATGGAAAAGGACAATTTCACAAGTATCTGATGTAGTGGCAAACACTTGCCTTTTATCTGGTCCTCTTTTCTGCAGCATCTTCACATACTGAAATACAACATGAGCCACCTGCAGGCAGAAAGGAATAGATTCATTTTTCCAGACATGAGGAAAACAGTAAGAAACTCCAGTTGCAGTAACCCATACCTCATAGAAGTGCTTGTAACCTTCATCAGTTAAAGTCACAGAGATGCTGAAGATGGAGTAAGTGGCATTCTGTTCAAACCCTGTCTCAGCATTTCCTCCATATAATGCAAGAGCCCAAAACCTATGCAAGAGTTAAAAGTACTTATTAGTTACCCATTTCAGCTTTATTTGAGCTTAGTTACAATTAGCATATCATAGCTTTACTTCAATGGCTTTTGATCCATTTACAGTTTATATGAAGCTTTTCTAACAGAGATATGAAACTCAGGATACCAAATTTAAGACAAACAGTGAAAAAGCAAAGTTACCTTTTGGGGATCTCTGAAAGATCAGTCACAGCTACTGCTGATCCATGGACCACAGGCCAAAACCAACTTATTTCTTACTTGGGTCTATCATCAATTTAAATAACTTTGCTAGGAAACACTGATGTAAAAAGGCAGACTCGGCCTGCTTTTATATATGGTGAGAAAATATTTATACACAAAATCGATAACAAAGTATTTAATATGTATGCTTCAAAAGATACCTACTTTTTCCTAAGGAAAGAAAGAACACTGCCTTTGCCTTCATGTCCCACTAACCAGGAAATATAATGAAGAGGCTTCACCCTAAAAGAAAAGGTGAAGGAGATTAAATGCCAGGAGGTAACACATTTCACAGGAGGAACTCAAATCACCAGACAAATGATTTAAATATACACTGTCTGTTTCTTCATGGCAAGTTTTGCATTTTCAGTCAGCATTAGAATAACAAGGTAAAAATGTGGGAGCTCAGAACATAATGGCTAATCTGAGTCAGTGGGGAATGATGCTCAATCAGCCGTGTACCAATACCACTCAGTTTATAAAAGGAGCCATATGTATATCAGTTTAATTCATTTAAAACATGCTCCCCTAGATGAACCAAAGTATCTGTAACACACACAAATGAGATTCTTTGGTTTGTTGTGAAAGTCAGTGAATTATTCATAACAAACATGGTAAAAGTAAAGAGCAGCACCACCGTACCTGTAATACTGTGCCTGTGGAGGGAGTGCCCAAGTGATACTCAGTAAATGAACTTTCTTGATTGGAACAACTGAACACAAATAGATTTATTGAACATAAATATACGTGATTAGACATAGGTAAGAAACTTTATATAATGCTGAAATAATGGTTATAAGTTATTCAGAACCACAAAGCATTATTCTGCAAAGTATCCAGATCACCCAGAGAAAACTATGAAGCAGTATTAAAAGCACTGAAACAAATCTGAGTTACTCACCTCTGTAAAGCTTGTGAAATTCTGGTGTGTCGAAAGGCTGAGACAGGTGACCAAAGCTGGGCTTGGGTAAACCACTTGAAAGCAAAATTAAAGTGTGGCGTTACTGGCAAGGATTCACGGTTACACTGAGGTAATCACAAGAGCATCCCTAGCTCTGATGTGACAGAGACAGTGCACCAGACAACCAGAAAATGACCCTTCACACAGAGCTCAGGATCCAAAGTGGATGCAACCTGACATTCACTTACTCTCTGCCCACACAAGGGAGTAGTTACCCAAGACTTAGGTACCACATCAACTCCACCCTGTCCTTCTGTTCAGGGC